AGTCTAAAAGGCATTGCTTGGCTTCATCTCTAGCATGCTAGAGAGAACAATGTAAGTTCAATAGCATCAAAATGACTGTATAAAAATGCTCTTCCTTCAAAAGAAAAGTATATGTGTGCACATATATATGTATATACCTATATATTTATATGCTTGTGTATTTATATAAAACTATCAATGAAAAATTTTATGTATATTTAGAATCTTAAACCAAAAGCAAATCAATATGCTTATATCAGAGTTCCACAATGTGGAGAAAAAGAGAAAAAAAAAAGAATGTTGTTTGAAAGATGAAGACATAGAAAAGCTGGGCATTTTTTCAGTACCTAGAATTGATTAGCAAATCATGTCATAAGTTCTTGCAGAGAAGAACACCTCAGACTATTACAGTAAAACATAATAAACAAGTTTCTGATAGGATCAGCAAATCTAGGTAACCTAAGGTTATGACCTCATATGCTGCAATTGCAAAGCATAAATCTAGCATACAAGTACCAGACTTCATATAAAAATTAAGCAACAACCAGGCAACAGAGCAATAATGCCAGTCAACTTCTGTGACTGCAACAGAAACAGCCATAAACATCACAGGTGCCAAAATTATTGTGCATTGCACCTATTGTGCATTGCACCTATCAGCTTGATATTCAGAGCTTTTTTTTTTTGTAAACCCTAATTCCAGTTATCATAGAGATTTATTCTGAAAACAAAACAAACTAAGAACACTTCAGATTTTTTAGCAATCTGATACATAGCTACAAAGCTCAGGACTGCTGTTATCCAAGATTCAGTATCACCAGACAATCACACAATACAAATGACTAATGTTAATCTGATAGCGCTTCTGAACAGTAGTTAGTAAAAACATAATTTGGCACGTAATGGAACAAAAAGGGAATTTTTTTTTAATGCAATTAGAGGAAAGATGTTGATTTTATTATTTAAATGTCCTGATAGCTTACTAAACCTGTCTTTAAAGTTTCAGGTATTAATCTTCCTAGATAATCCAAAACAGGCTATTGTGAATTTGAGTTATTTGAGGGGTGGATGAGGGTATATCAGACCTCTTGGTACAATGTATGATAGGAAACAGTGACATCCAAGGAGAAAGACAAAAAGTCATAAAATTAAATAGTAAGGGTTTATTGTTACACTTCTGATAATATGCTTTCTAAGATCAACTGAAGTACTTTTCAAGCTTTGCCATCTCTTCCTTCTGACTGCCTTAAAACCTTTTGCTAAAAATGAAAATATTTTTCATGGAAAAATCTCCCTCTTCTGATTAGTCAACACTGTGATTTTCATGTGCTAAGTGGGATAACAGAAACTTGATGACTAAATTCATTTAACAGCAGAATTAATACAGAAAGGAGTAATTTAGAAAGGATAGGCAGAAGAAAAAGAGAGAGAAGACATCACTATTTCTCAAGAAGGCATGCAACTGCTCAGATCCTTAAGCCAGAGAGAGTGAACACCTAATTCAAAGAAAAAGGTTTGACTGGAAAACGCAGAAGTGGAGGATACATAATAACGATCCTGAATTCATCATTCTTTGTATGGAAATAGAAAGAAAAAAAGTAGAAAAAACAGCAGAATATGAAAAGTGTTAGACTTAAGGAAAGCAGATTCAGCAAGCTCAAAATTGTTATGAAAAAGCCTATGGAAAGCAAGTTTGGGTGAAGTTTCTTAAAGAAACAACATTAAGGACAAAGCACAAATGAAGAAAGATAAGGGGTAAGCATTCGTGGAATTAGAAGAAAAGTAGAAATTGCTTAGGTAAATTGCATGTTTCCTCACTGGGTGGGTCAACTTACGGAAGCAATCTCAGTTATTGGTGGCCAACCTTTGAAAAAACATAGGAAAACAGGCAAGATTCTGAAAGAGCTGGCAAAGGAAAACATCATCTTTTAAAAAGGAGATTGAGAACAATACAGCAGTCCACATAAGTTCAATTTACAAAAATACTGTGTAACAAACTTATTTTATAAGTACCTAAAAAATCAAGTTGAAAATAACAGCCCATATGAATTGGCCAAAACCAAAACACTGCTATTTCCTCTCTGACAGTGTAGCACGTCTTATGTTGACTTCAGTTTTATCTCAGGTATAAGTCAGATCTTGACTTCAGTGTGACTTTTGACAGCGACATGATTTTTGGCATGATATTTTCATAAACCTTGTAAGGATATATGGTCACAGTAAAATGCCTGTAGGCTAGGTTTACAAGGTGTTGGAACAACACTGTTCATCAGCTGTCAATGTTTCACTGTTAAATTAGACACGTACGGACAAAGAATCTGATCTGGCCTTTTCAGTGATTTTTGTTAATGACTTCTCAGAACAAATAAAACATTTGTAGATTATACCAAGACGGAAAAGTTGTGTGAAGTATGGAGGATGAAATCAGCATTCAAAGGAATTCTTACAAACAGGAGGGGGCAGGGGGGAAGAAAATTAACTGGAAAAATAAAAATATCCTAAGATGTGAACCAATAAGGACAGACAATAGCTTCCAAACCTAACAAGCTTCAGTGTGCAAAGCAAATACTCAGGAGTACATACAGCATTTGCATTTCCTCCAACTTGCATGCATCTCAGCTGAAACCAAGACCAATTGGAATCCAGTTCTGTAGATCTAAACAGAAGGAAACATTTTTAATGTTATCTGCAAAGCCATTTTTGGTAAACTGTTCAACTGTCCCCGTGTGTCCCACCCCCACCCCCCCCACCCGCTTTTTTCTCCTTAAGTGAAAAACCCCAATAAGGTAAGTTTTCAGGAATCACATTTGAACTCTGTCAACAGCAGATGACAATCACATGTAATGGACAAAGTGACAATTTGAATGTCATATCACAACAAAAATTTGGGGCACAGTGAGTATGAGGATAATTAATACTGTGATCATTAGGAATGGATTCTTGAGAGGTCTCCTGTAACACTCCTGTAGACAGCAAAAAGACAGCAGAGAAAGAATATGGATTTTAGCTGATGCAAAAGGGCTGCTTTTATCTGTAATCCATTTTTTGAATGCCTTGCTCTCACTCGCTTCAGGCAGAATGTTCCATTTCAAATATATAATTATTTATAAGGCCACAAAGGCCCAGGGGCCATCAGTTAGGATACTCACCTGAAATGTGACAAGTTCAGGGTGCTGATTTACTGCACCAACTGACTGACTGAGCTAAACCATTGCCAGAGAGGGCAGCCCTTTACACTACCCCAGTACCAGCACTCAGGTCACACCATAACGAACTACTGCAGGAAGCAAAGCTGGCAAAATGCTATTTAGCGCTCTGAACTGGCTTCCTAGGGTGTCAGATTATCTTTATGAGCAATACACTGTAACACTGTTGAAGATGATAAACTAGTATTTGCCTCAGTCTTGATTTGGAGGAATGATGAAACACTTCAACATGCTTTCTCCATTCTTTGTTTTCATCATCTTCAATGTAGAAACAGATTTGCCAACAAATGCACGCTACTAACACAACAAGCAGGTAACGGGAATGGGTACGTGGTACAAATTCTACCGAACTCTACCCATCTACCTAATTCCCAAGCAGCTATCAGATCCATCAAAGCCAATACAAACATTAAAAAGGTCTGAATCAGTAGTTGAGAGAAGAATGGGTTTTCCTCTCTGAGCAGGTATCTGAACAAACAAACAAAAACATTAAAAGATGCGATTTTTACTTATAAATATATACAAACTACTTACCGAATGAAACTCAAATGAACACCAAGCGATCGATGGGTCCCTGAACAATCAATACAGAGAAAAACTCCATATGTTATGCTTGCCCAGCTAGGGTTCTTAGCTCCGCAGTCAAAACATACCTAAAAGAAAATAAAGATCAGTAACAGGACTTGAGCGTAATCACATCTTATAGTTCTATTACAGGTCATGCTAACACCCTTGCAGTGATCAAACATAATTAACTCATCCTTACAGCATCTGTTGACATGACAACTTCATATTATCCTACTTTTTATAAAGAGGAGTTATGCAATCTGCCCACACTTGTGTCTTTGCCCCAACTAGACAAGACTACACGCCTTCCTGGTTTCTGACTATAACCAGCGTACACACAGACCACAGGTTGAGAACTCGTGGGTCAGAGAACCCACATCAGGCTCATTCAGACACACATTTAACACAGTACTTCCAGCACTACTGAAATACAAAAGCGTTTAAGAAATATTTTCCCAAGGGCAGGCTCTCTTCATGACGTATCACTGCGTCTACTCTTTCCTCAGAATGTACATGCAACTGCAGTTATCAGCAGCACTAATGACATCATTATCTACTTTCCTATATAGAATCCTTGACCCTTAGAGCAAGCCTCTGAAATCCAGCTGCGTGAAGAAAGCGTCCACGCTGTGCACTGCCTAGCTGAGCGCTGTCTGCCAAACATGGCTATTTGTATGACGTATCACACATGTATTGCTTTCGACCTTTTAACTGTAATGGTTTATCAACCTTTTAACTGTCCATAAAATAGACAGGTAAAAAAGCAAATATGCCCACAATTACTGCACAGACAAAACCAAGAATTTTTTAAAAAACCCTCTGCCACCATGTTAGGCAACTAACACTCAGCCAAAACTACAAGAGGTATGTATCTGTGTCTCCATCTCACACACTTTGCAGGTCTGCAAACCACAACTTTCAAGTCCTGTTTCAGTTGTTCCGAATTTTGTACTTCTTTGGCCAAGGAAAGCAAGAACAAAAAATTTATCTGATACAAGTCAGTTTTCAAATGCAAGGCAGAACACATATTTAAACAGAAAGAGCTACTCCTAGTTAATGCCATGTGCACACAGCTATTCCTGTATGAAAGCACTTCACATCTGATCAATACTTTTTCAGTGGCATTTATAAAGGCTGCAAACAAGTATTTCTACAGTGAAAGCATCCATCTATAGGTACAGTCAGTGGCATCTACTGACAAGTAAATCTATGGAGAGACAAGCTTTTACACACTAATCGATGGAGTTCCAATCTGCAACTTTATCCTTTAACATCCTCCTATAAATCTAATGCATCCTCAGATAGCAAGGGAAGTTCTAGCTATATGCAGAAAGGAAAAAAAAGTTTATTCCAAGTCAGCTGGGGACATAGGGAACATCCTACAGGCAGGCCACAATGCTTCCAGCACCAACTTCTCATGCTGGGGGGGAAAAAAAAAAAAAGGGTTAACAAGTCTCATTGCTAGAAACTCCATTCATACAACTAAATAGGGATTTTTGTCTCTTTTTTTTTTTGTACCTACCCAGTCAAACAAGCCCTGAGTTTACGCTCAAGTCAGCTCACCTATCATCCACCCAAATTAATTTCAAGTACATGCCCAGAAGCAGTTTGAGGCTGAACTCCTCGTTTTACTGTGCATCTATTTAAGCCTGTACAGTCCAAGTTTATCAGGCACAAGCAAAGTTCACCAGCAGATCCAGCTTTGGCTCTTCCG